ATAGCAACCAGGATTTCTAACGGCAGCTGCAGTGATGCACTGACTTTACCGATTAGCGATTGGCTCTTTTACTCAGAAGGCGAGGCTTCGTTCAATAGAGCGGCCATATTGAGCGTTGCATTTTTTCCCATTCAAAACTATATGAGTGACACGTCTTGGGTACTCTCGTCTAAATGTCCCGCCCCTCACCTCAGTGGCATGTGCTCCGGTTGTATTGTAAACAATGGCGTCGTTAATATCGTTTATCAGTTTGAGCCTGAATGAGAAGCAGAGGATATTATTGAAGAGGATCGTGCAGAATCTGTGCAAGCACGGCTTTTAATGGTAGACCTATGTTTTTTTGTTTGTTGTCGTCTCATACTTTTAGATACGCTGTTATTTGTAAATGCTACTGCTTATGTTAGCTTTTAATATACAGTTTTATCCTGATTAAAGCTTTAATACAGTACGGCAACTGCACGCGTGTCCATGTTTAATGCTTCTCATAGCTAAGTGAAAATAAGTGTATAAATGTAACAGTTCATTGTTGGAGCTGAGCTTAATATGAGAGAGAGAGAGAGAGCGAGAGCAAGATGCAGAGTGTGTGCAGAGCAGGGGGACACGAGGAACAGTATTAAGAACCGCTGCTTTAGAACATTGATTTTGAATCTTGTGAATCCATTAGAATCGTTAGAAGACAGAATCGCGATTCATATATGAATAGGTTTTTACGTGCACCTCTAGTTTTCTCTTCCTCTTCTCTAAAGCAGCACAGCATGGCCTTGCCCCCTTTGTTGCCTTTTCCCGAGGGCGGGGTTTATCGGGTTTGTTACGTCACGAACCCGGGAAGTAACTTGTTGTAGTCCCTACCAGCCATTTTTGTAGGCATTAAACTGCCAAAATTTTAATAGAGATATCTCCGTTTGCATTGAACTTTCAGCTTCGTAACTTCGCAGATATTGTTTATGCTCAAACAGCAACATTACACACTAACTAACGTTAAAAAAGTGAAATCGCAATGAACCACCCCTTTAATACTAACTTAATATTAAAGTTATAAGTAAAATAAAAATTAATAAGGGTGAAAACATTTCTAACTTAGGGTACAGGTAGTGAGCACTAAACAGGACGTGTGTCATTTGGTATTTTCTCCGGCCCTGAACTGTGACTGGCTGGTTAAGACCAGTTAATCAGCTTTGTGGAGCAGCTTACCTCCTCAGGTGAAGCTCTGGGACAGGTGCATCTCACACAGGAGCAGCAAACAAGCACTACTGGAGCATATATGTAGGATAACCTCAATCTCTTGTACAGGAGTTGTTATTGAACTGACCGAGATTAATTAACACACACACACACACGCAACTATCAATACCTGTAGATTTCTGAAGGAAACAATAGTGTTTGAAAGGCAGCAAAGGAATGTTGTTAGTTTCAGGTAAATTTAGGCTTTAGGTATTATGTCTGCATAAATTAAATTTACCTTTGTCACCCGCAGTCTGGGTTTCATTCTCCATAGGGCCTTTCGCACCGCTTTAGTTCCAGAACTAAATGTACAGTACTAAAGTACTGGGACGATTTTGCGTGAACTATTTCCCAGTACCATTTAAAGGGTTGCATTCGCACCGACAGTGTGTACTAGGATGTGACGTAAGCCGGTCGACAGCGACGTCATTTGTGCGCGGCGTTCAACAACGGAAACAAAGAAGAACAACGTTAACAACAGGAGGATGGAAGACGCTGTGATCGGAGCGTTTTAAATCATGTCATTTCGTACGCGTTTATCCAATCAATCTACTTACGTCACGGGTAGTACCAGTTGTGCTGGTTAGACCCTGCTCCGGAATAGGAGCTAATTTGATTCTCGAAAAAGGGAGTGCGGTACTAAAATCACAACCAGTTACGGCGGTGCGAAAACACCAAAAAGTGGGTAGTTCCACAATTAGTTCTGGTACTATGAAAAGGTTCCCGTTGTGCGAAAGGCCCTCATGTTGCAATGCAGCCAGAGAAGTCAAAATGTGGCAAAAAGGTCCAATCACAATTTAGCAAGCAAATAAAGCAGAGGCGTCATTGTCATCGGTAGATTTTGAATGGCAAACATGTTCAGTAAATCTCAATGGAAATTTCTTTAAACATAAGATAAACACGAGATTTAAGATGTAGGGGAGCGCGGGGCACAAAGTAACGCAGGGTTAGTTGTAACACACATGGTTTGAATATTTATTCTCGAAAAAGGGAGTCCGGTACTAAAATCACACCCAGTTCCGGCGGTGCGAAAACACCAAAAAGTGGGTAGTTCCACAATTAGTTCTGGTACTATGAAAAGGTTCCCGTTGTGCGAAAGGCCCTCATGTTGCAATGCAGCCAGAGAAGTCAAAATGTGGCAAAAAGGTCCAATCACAATTTAGCAAGCAAATAAAGCAGAGGCGTCATTGTCATCGGTAGATTTTGAATGGCAAACATGTTCAGTAAATCTCAATGGAAATTTCTTTAAACATAAGATAAACACGAGATTTAAGATGTAGGGGAGCGCGGGGCACAAAGTAACGCAGGGTTAGTTGTAACACACATGGTTTGAATATTTCCACACATGCTAGCATAACAAAATCTACAGTATTTATTAGTTACCATATCAACATTATATAGAAAAAAAGTGTGCCAAAATTCAAAACTCTTTTGAAGATATCAATGAACATTAAAAACATTAAAATTCTGGCTTAAGTAAATTTTTCATCTCTGTTTTTGTTAATCACTTAAAATTAGACAAATCTGTTATTTATCAGTTTAGATAGTTTTTTTAATGCTTCGCTATATGCTGTATAGCACACCCCAGACTCGACTTGTCGCGAAAATGAATTATCCTCGGTTGTGCGCGCACTTGTTTGCACATGAGCGACGGTGTTTTTTAGGAGTCTAATGCCGAGTTCACACTGCACGATTTTCAAACAGGTCGGCGATTCCCTCAGATCGCGTCTTTGATAATTCATCGCGTGAACGAGCACCGATTTGCCTCCGATTTCAGGCATTGTCAGCGAGTGAAAAATCGGGCTAAAATCGTGCAGTGTGAACTCGGCATAACGAATATGCTTCTGGGAAATGTATATAATGTAAAAGTTGACTGAAGCATTAAAACTCAAGTACAGATACTCCCCAAAAATACTTAAGTACTGTAACAAAGTATTATTACTTTGTTACATTACACCACTGTGTCTGCATGTGAGGCCATTTTGATGCAAAGCAATGATGGCTGCATGTGTTTCTTTGGCGGTAACCATTGCTAACAAGAACACAATGATTGGAAGCGCTTTTATAGCAATCAGTCTGCTCTTACGATCTAATTAGTATGATAGTGATTTCACCTGACTAGTACTCATTCACACTTTCACATGTGCTGCTGATATGATTAGTCAATTAATGTTAGCTGGTCATTAAACTGTGATTATTTTTTTTTTGTGAAAAGTAAAATTTTTTGGCCAATGAAGCTTTTAGCAATTATTTGAAATGCATCTGATCACTCTACACAATAATCTAGAAACAATGTGAATGAACACCACAGCAGGTTTAGCAGCAAACTTTGCAAAACACAAAATTTGTGTCACTGCCAAAACGTTTGGCCACGACTGTACACGAGGCCACTAAGCCTGTCTGCTCTGGAACATACAGAACAGTTACTTTACAGCACAAACATAAAAACACTGATGGGTAATCAGCCCATTCATCAGTACATTTTATGCATCACTTCAAAACACAACAGTCTTTTCTTCTTTTTTATTTCATTAATTTCATTAAATATAGTACAATGTACCCATTTATACAGGAATTCACATATTAACAAGTCAGTTTGTGATGTTTGTGATGTCTGCAGCCACTGGAAGTGTCTCAGGAAATATGCTCACCGCGTTAGAAACAGGCTTGTCATCTGAACCGCGCGAGACATGAAAACTTGTATCTGAAAGCAGCAACGGTGTGTTTTAATGAGTTTCTGTGTCGCTGACAAATACAACTCCTTTGATTTGGACTAAAGTCCCAAGCCAAGGCCACTATAAAGAAAAAAAAAACAACAGTCTAAAGCAGACCAAAGTTGAAACTGAATTAAGGATATGCAATTCTGCATCCATTACTGCTGCTGAGAAAATGTGCAGCAGTACAAGAAACAAAATGTCCAAATTCACAACACACGGCACACACATCAAAATCATGTTTAAGAGTGGAATTCATGTTCAGTTCAAGGAAAGCATGATTCCATAGATCAAGGTCGCACAGTCGCGAGAAACATAAATAATACGCATCACAAAAGAACGAGAAACAAACGGTCGTAAAAATGGACCACCTTAGAAATCCATCGTATTAGAAACATACCAACTAAACACCTGTACATAAAAACTCACTCGCGCAAACATATACACGACCCAAACAAACAGAAACCAGGCATTCAAGGACATATTCATGTGCTCCCGGATCTTCCCCGTGTTGGCTTGTATTGTATGAACATGAGCACGTTAATTAGGTGGCCTTAACAAATGTATTGCAGCATTCGAAATGACGGGGGCAGAGAGGATGCTGTGTATCCTACAGGTGGCGCTATCCCTGCGCACCACTGTGTCTGCATGTGAGGCCATTTTGATGCAAAGCAATGATGGCTGCATGTGTTTCTTTGGAGGTAACCATTACTAACAAGAACACAATGATTGGTAGCACTTCTTCCCTCCTTTTATAGCAATCAGTCTGCTCTTTCAATCTAGTTAGTATGATCGTGATTTCACCTAACTAGTACTCATTCACACTTTCACATGTGCTGCTGATATGATTAGTCAATTAATGATAGCTGGTAATTTTGTGTCAAGATAAAAAAACTGTGATTATTATTTTTTTTTTGTGAAAAGTAAAATTTTTTGGCCAATGAAGCTTTTAGCAATTATTTGAAATGCATCTGATCACTCTACACAATAATCTAGAAACAATGTGAATGAACACCACAGCAGGTTTAGCAGCAAACTTTGCAAAACACAAAATTTGTGTCACTGCCAAAACGTTTGGCCACGACTGTACACGAGGCCACTAAGCCTGTCTGCTCTGGAACATACAGAACAGTTACTTTACAGCACAAACATAAAAACACTGATGGGTAATCAGCCCATTCATCAGTACATTTTATGCATCACTTCAAAACACAACAGTCTTTTCTTCTTTTTTATTTCATTAATGTTTTACAATATAGTACAATGTACCCATTTATACAGGAATTCACATATTAACAAGTCAGTTTGTGATGTAATACACTGCTGCAGCCACTGGAAGTGTCTCAGGAAATATGCTCACCGCGTTAGAAACAGGCTTGTCATCTGAACCGCGCGAGACATGAAAACTTGTATCTGAAAGCAGCAACGGTGTGTTTTAATGAGTTTCTGTGTCGCTGACAAATACAACTCCTTTGATTTGGACTAAAGTCCCAAGCCAAGGCCACTATAAAGAAAAAAAAAACAACAGTCTAAAGCAGACCAAAGTTGAAACTGAATTAAGGATATGCAATTCTGCATCCATTACTGCTGCTGAGAAAATGTGCAGCAGTACAAGAAACAAAATGTCCAAATTCACAACACACGGCACACACATCAAAATCATGTTTAAGAGTGGAATTCATGTTCAGTTCAAGGAAAGCATGATTCCATAGATCAAGGTCGCACAGTCGCGAGAAACATAAATAATACGCATCACAAAAGAACGAGAAACAAACGGTCGTAAAAATGGACCACCTTAGAAATCCATCGTATTAGAAACATACCAACTAAACACCTGTACATAAAAACTCACTCGCGCAAACATATACACGACCCAAACAAACAGAAACCAGGCATTCAAGGACATATTCATGTGCTCCCGGATCTTCCCCGTGTTGGCTTGTATTGTATGAACATGAGCACGTTAATTAGGTGGCCTTAACAAATGTATTGCAGCATTCGAAATGACGGGGGCAGAGAGGATGCTGTGTATCCTACAGGTGGCGCTATCCCTGCGTGGCCGTTTTGGGACATTTGTGCTTACTTGAAGGGCAGCACCACCGGTCAATTGCCAAGCGATAAGAGAGCTGTCTTGCGAAACCTATTTATTTAAGCAAAATACCTTGAAAATAATTTAATAGTACTTGGAGAAGAAATTAAATAGCATTCCTATGAAGAATATCGGTGTTGAGAAGGAAACCATATTGTTGAGGTTCAATACCTTGGCTATATGTCTTTTTAAATATGCATTTCTATCATATTTAAAAGAAAACAGGAAGAGAAAATCTTCCACTGAAAAACAAAAAGAAAAAGTCATGCATTCATCCACTGTCAGAAAAATGGAAAAAGGGGTGGAGGAAGAGCAAGAGGCCTTGGTGTCGCCTTGGCAACCTCTAGCTCTGCTGTGCGGGTCCCCTTATGCATTAAGGGTGGGCGTAGGTGTGAGAAAGCATGACGTGACTTCACAGGTGCTGCCAGTCGATGCCCACCAAAGTTTGATTGGCCTCCTGGGCGTGGCCGATCTCCTCCGTGATGCTGTGCTGGCGCCACAGCTTCTGGACCTTCCTGTAGCGCTCTTGGCACAAGTGTAATGGGTTTCCCCTTCTAAAAGAGACAAAACGCATCCCTTGATCTCACACGTCTGTCAGAAATAATCATGCGTGTCAAATATCAGAAATGTGTCCCTGGACCACAAAACCAGTCATAAGGGTCAATTTTTTGAAATTGAGATTTATACATAATCTGAAATCTGATAAATAAGCTTTCCATTGATGTATGGTTTGTTAGGATAGGACAATATTTGGCCGAGATACAACTATTTGAAAATCTGGAATCTGAGGGTGCAAGCCTCCTGGGCGTGGCCGATCTCCTCCGTGATGCTGTGCTGGCGCCACAGCTTCTGGACCTTCCTGTAGCGCTCTTGGCACAAGTGTAATGGGTTTCCCCTTCTAAAAGAGACAAAACGCATCCATTGATCTCACACGTCTGTCAGAAATAATCATGCGTGTCAAATATCAGAAATGTGTCCCTAGACCACAAAACCAGTCATAAGGGTCAATTTTTTGAAATTGAGATTTATACATAATCTGAAATCTGAT